AGGAGGAGGAGGAGGAGGAGGAGGAGCCACCTCGAGCTTGTTCGGGTTCCGGCGTTGACGACGAGGATCTTTGGGGAATTCGGGCCGGTTGGGATGATGGACGAAGATGTCATCCCAGGCTTGATAGCTCGTATAGCTCAGCTCGTTGGGCCGGATGCGTACCACGTCTCCATACCGCCAGTGCATCTGAGCTTGCAGGTGGGTGCGATCGCCTTTCATCTGGTGATAACACCATGGCAGGCTAGTCATGCGCCACAACAGCGGACCTGGGTATGCACGCAATGGGTGGAAGAACAGATTGTAAACAGCGCTGACGATGATGGCCAGTAGTGCTGCAGTCACCAGCACCAGCCCTGCCAAACTGACAGTGCGAGCCAGAGACGTCTCAAATCCCTCTAAGTAAGCAAACATGACGAATGCTTGCTTGTATATGTGCGGTGTTGTGTTGAATTGTCGTGGTTGTCTTCCGTCTCATAGCACCCGGCTTATACAATCACGTCTTTACAGAATCCTGATACTTAAAGCTTCACCGAGTACGAAGAAGTCATAAACAGCAAGCATCGTGCCATGAGCTGAAGTTCGTGACATGAGAGGATAGCGGGTTGCCGGAGTGTCGGGCCTCGGGGCAAGCGTTGAGCCCGAACCCCCCGCGACGCCCGAGTCCCACTGAGTCTCTCATTCGGAGGACCACCCTTCTTTACCTTCCCCGAATGCTTCCCCGATCTTTGTTTGGACGGAAAACACCCTCCTCTGGATATCTAATGGACATCTAATGAGGTCCGCATGGAGGTGTGATATTCAATCTTCGAACAGACTCATATGCTGCCCCCCCCTCCCTTTCCCCCGGCTGAGCCGACGACGTATAAGGAGAGGTGGGGAATGGAAGCCCCAAACAAGAAATTGTCCATCTTCCAAGCACATCTTCCCCCCTCCTCCTAAACTCGCAACATTCCACATATCTTCCCTCACTTCGGACACATCACACAATGACTGTCTCTTCTGCTCCCTACTGCCTCGCCGGGCAGGTCGCTTTGGTTACTGGCTCTGGCCGGGGGATTGGCGCGGCGATCGCGGTTGAACTGGGCCGCCTGGGCGCCAGCGTGGTGGTAAACTACGCGAACTCCTCGGCAGCAGCAGAGAAGGTCGTGGCGGAGATCCAGAGCCTGGGGTCGGCCGCGATCGCGATCCAGGCGGACGTGCGGGAGGTGTCGCAGACGGTGAGGCTGATGGACGAAGCCGTGGCGCACTTTGGTGGACTGGACATTGTGTGTAGCAACGCCGGGGTCGTTAGCTTCGGTCACCTGGGAGAGGTCACCGAGGAGGAGTTCGATCGCGTGTTCAGCCTCAATACACGCGGCCAGTTCTTCGTCGCCCGAGAGGCCTACCGCCACCTGAACGAGGGCGGTCGCATTATCCTCATGTCTTCCAACACTGCCCACGACTTCAGTGTCCCCAAGCACTCCCTCTACTCTGGCTCCAAGGGAGCAATTGACTCCTTCGTACGTGTCTTTGCCAAGGACTGCGGTGATAAAAAGATCACTGTCAACGCCGTGGCCCCCGGCGGCACGGTCACCGACATGTTCCACGCGGTTTCCCACCACTACATCCCGAATGGCGAGAAGTATACCGCCGAGGAGCGGCAACAGGTATGGTGGATCCGACTCCTTCGCGCGCGCTCTCTCTTTTCTGATATTGATTGTTTTTCAGATGGCCGCTCATGCTTCACCTTTGATGCGTAATGGATTTCCCTTGGACATTGCACGCGTGGTGTGCTTTCTGGCCAGCAAGGAGGGTGAATGGGTAAATGGAAAGTCCTTGACGGTGGATGGAGGAGCAGCCTGAGATTGGGGAGTAAAAAGTCTCTGGCGCATCTATCGCGAAAGAGATTCATTTTAATATTCACACTTTTGCTTTCGATTTCTTAAAGATCTCGCCCATCTTCCTTGCCTTGTACCCCCGCTCTGGGAACCTAGACAGTCCCGGATTTTCGATCCCACAGAGACAGAGAAACTGGTGACATCGGGGCATATCTTCTGTGGCCTGGGTAAAACACAACACTCTTGTCCTGTGGGTAGAATTGGGCAAAAACAAGGCTGAGATGCCGACTGCGCTGTCAACAACTGCCAATAATTCATTTGCAACTGCTTTTGCTCTTCTGTGTATTGGGTATTTTGTATTGTATCTCTCCATTACCATATCGAAGGAAATGATGTACCATTACAACCTGCATGCTGTTGCAGCGAAGTCCGTATCCAGCAGATACACTCGAAACTCCTAAACAGAGGACTCTATCGTTATGAAAAGAATGTTCTATGTTCGTGGTCAAAAGCCCATCCGGATGCCTCATTCTCTCCTAATTACCTGACAGTGCTGTAGGTATGTCCTTTGACGAGTGGAAAACCACTCCCCACCACCGGTGTCAACCCAGGCGAAACCAAAATATCTCTACTCGGCCGCCTCGCCTGTCACCGTCGCCATGGGAATATCCAGCAAGCGCAACTCGCCCGCCACGGCCCTGAACATTGGCGTCTCGTAGACCTCATAATACCACTCCCAGAAGCGGGGGTAGTCTGCGCGCAGCAAGGGGTGGAGGACCATGACGGCGCCGAACAGCATGCCGACGACAAACAGATCAGCCAGCGTCATCTGGGCGCCGACGAGGTAGCGATGCTGGGGCTGCCGAAGATGGTCGTCGAGCAAGCGGCAGTCGCGACGCACGATGCGCAGGCACTCGCCGCAGTCCTGGGGCCCATTGACCGGCTTCCCTTTGCCGAGCAAGGGCAGAATGAGCGCCCCGACAGCGGGCAGCAGGTCCGCGTTCACCAGCGACATCCATTTGACGATCTCGTAGAATTCGCGCCGCGTGGCGCCCAGCAGCGGGGTCGTGTCACTCTGGCCTGTGATGTACAGCGCGATCGCGATACACTCGGTCAGCACGTGGCCGTCATTCCCGACCAGGGTCGGAACTTGGCCCAGCGGGTTGACCTGAAGGAGTCTCGCATAGTTCTCCGGGTTCTCGGTCTTGTCGGCGTACACGATGTCCAGTTCGATCCCCTGCGCGCGGGCGACGGCGAGGATTGCGGTCGAGCGGGGATTCGGCTGGGATGGGGATGGGTTAGTTCTGGTTGGACTTCAAAGAAAGGGAGTGGGAAAAGGAGTGGGGGGGGGGGGGGGAAAGGGCCAATACGTTGTGAGTATAGATGGTTCCGAAAGCCATTTCAAGGAGACTACTTGTTCTGTCTGGAAACAATGGACGACAAAAGGCCTGGCTAAGTAAGGGGCTTGTCTTCCTGGGTTGTCGCTGTGGACTTTTATCTGGTTTTATCTGGGATTTGGCGACCCGGCTCAGAACCACTTAGGGTTGTCCGAGCCCCGAAGACGTCAATATCCAAGTCTCCGAACATCTTGCCCTCCAGGAAGAACTCCGTGCCAAGTCCGCATCAAGAATCACCTTACGGGCAGAAGAGCGCAAACTGTGATTCGTACCCGACATTTGACAAGCTCGGCAGAGTCGAGCGAACCAGTTGATCGGTTTTCTGATTCCAAGCACCAAAACCATCTATAGTTTCATACCAAGTAGATTGGTAAATAATATGATGGGATGTGGACAACACCCCCGAGATAATATGTGGCTAAGAGTGACATATGCCCAGGAGGTCCAAGAATGAGAATAGAATGACGGAAGAGTTGCGGGTCTAAGGAATGATAAAATCTAAATTAAGGATACGACGAGTAGCAACAGGGGATAAGGGGAATTTTGATTATATCTAATGATGGTGAGCTCAAATCTCGCTCCGATGCTTAAATCGCCCCCCCCCTCCCCTCCCCCCCCCCAAAAGCCTGTTCTTAAGACCAGCCGGGATGGGCAAGATTGTATGCAGGAGCAGTTGATGAAGCATCTTGCTTCTCTACCGTGTTTTATTTCGGTGGAAAACCTGATCCGACCAGGCCTCCTCAGCAGTAGAGAAGGAGCCGATCTTGTGCATGTACCGCACATTCATCGTCACCACGCGGGCCGCTTCCGCCTCCATCCGGCGACGCCGTTCTGTATCCGCACAGATTCGAGGCCGGGCCGCGCCCAGCGGGCCAGATGAGGAGCTCTCAAGCATATGCAGAATCGGCTGACAGGGATGGACTTCAGTAGCGGAATGGTGATGAGTGGTCTGCGTGGCAATGCTCCGTTTCAGCCGGTGTAACCAGGTCGGGACGTCCAAGGCCTCCATAGAGACCCCAAGTTCCTGCTGCACGATGGCCCAAAAGCGACTGGCTGTCAGGCCGGCAAGGACCTTAATCTCCCCGGGGCGCGGCACGGCCGTCAGCCGGGAGATGATCAGGTTGGCAAAGTAGTCCGCGCCGCAGAGGTAGATCCAGTCTTCCGCCGGGTCCTCGCGTGGAAATGCCCCTAGGGCACAGCAGCCGCGGACCACGCGCCAGAGGAAGTCGTCCATGTTGACCACCCCATCGGCAGCAGCACCGATAATAAGTGCTGGGCGGAGCACGGCCACCTTGCCGGCTAGATCCATGCTGCGGGCGGCGGCGCGTTGCAGTATTGCCCCGGTGATCAGCTTCGTACGCCCGTAGGCGTTGGACTGGGCGAGGCTGGAGTGGAGGTGCTGCACCGAGCTTTCCCCCGTCACCGGCTCCAACGCCGCAGTGTCGGGTTCGTCTGGCATCCACTGTGGCCCACCGGACACATACACAAGTCGAGTGATAGTGGCGGCGTCTCGCACGCATTCCGCAAGCTGCAGCGTCGCGTCAATGTTCGTTGCCTGAAGTGTCGCAAAGTTCGCGAACCAGTCGACCGCAGCCCCGTTGTGGATAACTGCGTCTACGTAGTTGGTTGCGTTACCCCCTCGTCCGCCCAGCTGCGCGTCCCATTGCGCCGGCAGTAGCCCCAGCCGCGTCGCGCTCAGATCGCCGGGCCAAACCTCGATTCGGGGAGTAAAGTCGCGGCGCCAGGACCGCAAGAGGCTGGCGCGCTCGACAAGCCGGGCCTTACCCTCGTGGGCCGTGTTACAGCGCACTAGGACCACAACCCGCGTCCGTGGAAAGCGTTCGAGCAGGCGGGTGAGAATGTTTAATCCGACAAGGCTGGTGCCCCCGGTCAATAACACGCGGCGGGGCTCGAATCGCGAGCTGATGCGGCGAGAAAGACGTCGCACCAGAGTCATCTGCGACCCGGCCACCTTACCGACCAGTCGGCTTAAGGAGGTCTTCTTGGACAGCTCGCGCTCCAAAACAATAGGATGCTTCTTCTGGCAGAGCCGGTCCACCCCTTGACGGATCATGGATTCGAAGGTCTCGGGATCCTCCGTCCTCTCATCGCTGCGCTTCTTCTGCTTGGCCGGGAGGCTTGCCTGCTGACTTCTGAGATAGGAGACGAGTCCCTGCACGCTATCAAGATGCAGAAGACTGGGCACGTCCAAGTGGACGGAGTGGGTCTGGTTGATCCACCGGAGGAACGGAATAATGGTGATTGAATCCAGCCCAATACGAGAGAAGGAATGCACAAGGGAACGATTTGTGGCGGATTGAGGACCGATATGCGATCTCCATGCGAGAAGGGACTGGATTTGGTTGAGTATGGGTGCTGTCAGGGCGTCGGGCAGGTCGGCGGCTGTTTCGGTGGACTTCGCATCGTGTGGCCTCGCTGAGGCGGGATGATACAAATGCAAGGCTTCGAGCTCCTCCAGCGCCAGCCGTTCCAGCCATGTCTGTACCCTGCGACGGTCCAATTTGCCGGATGACATCAATAAGCTCTGGTCGGCTGCTAGAAACACAGCGGGCACCATGTGCAGTGGCAAGAACTCGGCAGCCTTACGGGCGATGGGCTCCATCCACGCCCCCGGCTGATCTTGCGCGCACAGTCTGGCGGCGGCAGGGGAGGGCTCAAGGATAGCGACCAGTTGCATCGCGAGCACGCCTGTGGTGGGATAGCAAACCAGAGCTTGGTCCGTCCTCTCATCCTGCTGTAGGACGTGCTCGATTTCTTCCGGCTCGACGCGCTGGCCCCGGATCTTGATCTGGCTATCCCTGCGGCCGAGAAAGACTAGGTCGCCCTGCTCGTTAAATCGAACCAAATCGCCTGTCAAGTAGACCGGGTAAAGATAAAGACAATCAATACCATAGGTCTCGAGCCACGGGGCACTGGGGAGAAACAGCGCCTCCGTCTTGGCCGGGTTGTTGATATAGCCATTAGCCACCGCGGGACCCTGAATTGCCAGTTCGCCCACCATACCCAGCGGCATGAGAAACTTGTGATTTTGCGGGTCAACAACCCAGAGATGACACCCAATGCTCTTGCCGATGACAGCTGGCGACAAGAATTGGGGCACCCGGTCAACGAACGTGCACTGCACGCAACATTCGGTGGGACCGTAGGTGTTCTGGAGATTGCAGCGATTCGCCCAGGTCTGGACGTGATATTGATGCATCGGCTCACCCCCAAGGCGCAGCACTTGCAAATCGGGCACCTCGTGCGGTTGGAGCATCCTGGCAACGGATGGCGTCAGGTCGACGGCCGTGGCGGCAAATGCGTTGATATTGTCGGCTAGCCGTAACAGACGGTCCTCATCTTGTGGGACGCAGATGCAACCCCCACTCAGGAGGGTCGCGAAGATGTCGGCAATGCACGTATCAAAGCTGTAGCTTGCGAACTGCAGCAGGCGAGATTGGCGCTTGTAAAGCCCGGCTGCGATCTGACTTTCGAGCCCGCTGGTGACCTGTCGGTGGAGCAGGACCACTCCCTTGGGGGCCCCCGTTGACCCGGAGGTGAAGATGCAGTAGGCCGGGCGGTCTGGCGACGTCTGCAGCTCGAAGAAACCGTCGTCCGGCGCCACGGACGGAGTGTCCCAGATGCTCTGGAAATTGACCACAAGGGGTCCGATGTCAGCCACCAGATGGTGGGTTGCAGACGTGCAGAGCACGCGGTCCGCCTTGGCCGCCTGGATCATATACCGGATGCGCTGCGGTGGTAGTGCGGGGTCCAGCAGGAGGAAGGCGTGGCCTGCTGTCAGGATGCTCAGCATAGCCACGACGGCCGCGGCAGACTTAGGGTAGCAGATGGGGACAATCTGCCCTGGCTTGCAGGGTAGCAAGGGCGCGAGCCGCGAGGCCAGGCGCCAGACCAGGCTCCGAAGCTCCTCGTAGGTGTACCGCGCGTCCCACCCGTGAAGGGCTTCGGAGTCCGGCCAAGCGTGCGCTTTGGCAAAGATTCGTTCATGGAGGCACTCGCGGTGGTCAATCAGTTCGCCGCGGCTCATGCGCAGAACGGCGGGCACGCTCTCCTTATCCAGGAGACTCAGGTCTCGGAGTAATGTTGTCGGATCCTGCGTGGTGTGTAGGGCGTCAAAGGCGTGACTGAATTGCTGAGCCATCATCTGCATCTCCCACGAGGAGAAGACCACTGGGTCATACAACAGCTTGACCCTGAGAATCTGGGCTTGTGGAAAGCACTCGACAACCAGAGGGTAGTCCACGTAGCCATCTGCGGTTCCGAGCTCGATCTCGTGGATCATGTGGAGCGGATCCGGGGCATCTCCATCCATCTCGGGCTGGATAATCAGGAGAGTGGTGAAGGAGGCAGCCGCCGCCGGCCCAGGCCCTAGTGCCTTGATGTTCTGCAGACCATAATGCTGATAGACTCCCACGAGTGCCGCTTGAGTTTGCAATTCGTCGAGAAACTGCGCCACTGAGGTGGTTCCCTCCACTTGGATGCGCATAGGAACCGTGGCAATGGCAGGTCCCACCACTGTCTCTGCGTCTGGGCAACTCGCTAGGGCTCTTCCGTGAATAGTGGTACCAAATATCACATCCGACTCGCCATGAACTTTGGAGATCAGCAGTGCCAACGCCCCTTGGATTGTCGTAGCCTGCGTGGTCGCGGATCGTCGCGGCGGAATGGAGATTTCGAAGGGGAGATGATCCGAGGCACGAGACTTCGCATGATCTAGGGTCAGCTGAGGAAAGACCGTCCCACTGAATGACTCGAATTTGTTCCGCCAGAAGCTGATCGCGGCTTCGGAGCTCTCCTGTTCAACCGCGGCACGGGCGAATCGGGAGAATGGAGTCAAAGGGCTCGGAGTCTCCTTCCTGTACATTTTTTGCATCAAATCCAGAATCAGATGGGTGGACCAGCGGTCGTAGATGGCATGATGTACTCGCCAGCGCCAGATCAACCTCTCATGCTCTGGGTCTGTGTCCAGAGAGTGACAGAACAGGGGCGACCCGCAGCTCATGGGAGGCACAAAGACTGGCAACGCCCCTTGCGGAACAGCTATTCCTGGGTCCGCTGACGGCCGCAGGGTGACATTGTGTGACCTGCCGTTGGGATCTCGAATGATGCGGGTGCGCAGAATAGGCGTCCCCGCGAGTACTCGGAGCCAGGCCTCTTGGAAGGCTGCCACAGTCCATGAGACTGGCAGGTGGAAGGCGTGTTCCGCCACATACGCCCCTGCGTGAATCTCACTCAGAGCCATAAGTCCTGTCTGCAGAGCTGTACAAGGGTAGATATCCTCAATCATCTTTGGATCGACGGCACAGTCCCTGGCTGCCCTCAGTAGAAGTTCTTGGAGAATATCTTGGGCCGTGCCTTCGAATTCCGTGCTTCGTTTTATGTGGCTAGGCTCCGTCAATGACCTCGTTTTGTTGTGCTTCATGATGAAGTCTACTAGCTCACTCAAGGTGGGATGCAGAAACAAGTCGGACATGGCAAGGAGTATACCCTCGCGTCGCAGCTCCTTGCACGCTCGCATCGCGGATAGGGAGTTGCCACCCAGGATAAAAAAACTTAACGTGGGCTTGATCTCTGTTAGCTCAATAGCCAGCACACTTGCCCAAACCTGGGCGACCCTGCGAACCAAGATAGGGTCCAGATCGCGGGAGTCCGCCCCACGCGGAGGTCGCAGGTCCATCAGGTCGGAGACTGCTTGCTGCTCTGCTAAGTGAATAATGCCTTTTCGATTCAGCTTGCCGTTTTGCAGCCGGGGAAGCTTTTCAACCTCCAAGCCCCCGATGGGTATCATGTAGCGGGGCAGCGTCTGAACGAGCCACTCGAAGGCGCAGCGCAGTCGGGCCTCAGACGAGGACGCACTCGTTCCCTTGCGCTCGAGCACCACAACGACCACGAGGACTGGTCCTTCGGAGTTGCCCTTCAGGGTCGCTACAGTAACGGCCAGCTCCTTCACGTCAGCTAGCGCCAGCAGCAGCTTCTCCTCCACCTCCTGCGGCTCAAAGCGCTGGCCCGCAATCTTCAATTGTGAATCAATGCGTCCGTGATGCACCAGAACCGCATTTGGCCCCGCCTGACTGAAAAGGTCCCCCGAATGGACCACGACGGGATGGCCGATCGGTTGGTCGTCAGGTGCATCGATTTCGCCGTTTCGCAGGTAACCCATGAAGTTGGTATGGCTTTCGACAACGAGCTGGCCTGAATGGCCTGTCGGGACCTCTAAGCGTGCCTCGTCTACGATCGAGCACCGACAACAGGCCAGCGGACGACCGGCGTTTAGCGCCCCAGGGCTCTGCTCGCCGACCAGCCCGGCGAGGACCATCAGCGTCTCCGAAGAACCGTAGTTCCAATAGACCTTCACGTGGGGCAACCAGATCGACGCCACGTCTGAGTGTATGGGTTCGCCGGCGAGCACGACGCGAGTCAAGGACGGGACAGCGCTGGGGTTCATGATCCGTAAGGCGGACGAAGGCAGTGTGGTTCGGGTGGCACTGAACAGCGAAATGGCCTCCTCCAGGCTGTGAGACTTTTCGGCTTCGGTGGGAATGCAAAGACACCCCCCTGCCGCCAGGGTCGACAGAGAATCGATGATGTTCACGGCCCAGCCGAAAGAAGGAAAGAGGAAATTACGCACGGTGGAGTCGATTTCCAAGACCTTGGCCACGTTCACGGCCATTGTACTCAAACTTACATGGCTGTGAACGACGCCTTTCGGTTCTCCTGTGCTGCCGGATGTGAAAAAGACGATGGCAGGTGCCAGGGGATCAACCTCCGGGAAGTGATTCCGAGCTGCCGGGGACTTGCACGTCGGCTGGCTCAGGTCCAAAGCAAGATTGATCACTCCTGGAAGCTCGAAATCTGAGGAGCGAGAGGACGGATTAATTAGATGAGTGAACCTGCCGGTGCGGATGATGCTGTGAATCCGCGCAGTTGGCAGCGAGGCATTGAGGGGGGCCGCCACAGCACCGAGGTGGAGGACAGCCAGGAGAGCCACAATGGCGATGGGAGAGGACTCTGCCACGATGGCCACGCGGGCCCCCAGAGACAGGTTTTGTTGTAGCAGCTGACTGGCGCTTGCCTGCACTGAGCTCCAGAGGCGGTCGAAATCGTACTCTCCGGAACTCGCGACGAGGCACACCCGCGATGGATGCAGTCGAGCCTGGGCTTGGATCAAAGTGGAAGGTCGGGTTCTCACGTGAAAAAGCTTACCCCCCATTTGAAAACCGCTCTCTGGCGGATGGTGACAGGTATTAGGCAGGTCATCGGTGGTGCCGGTCATTGTGCTGTGGGGAAAGATGTAGTAGAAGACGGGAAGCAGGAAAGAAACACAGCGACCCTTAAAAAGTAGGCCCACTGGGAGATTTCTAGTGTCTTGTATACTAATGCTCTACGTAACATACCGGCTGGGCGTCGTCTTACAGTCTTCTGAGGATCGGAAAAAAGTGCATTGGAGTCGTGAGCCCATCGTCACAATGTTGATTAGTTTCAACATCCCCTCGTTCCAGGGTTCAGAAAGGGGGTGGGAAAATGACAATGACCCGATCAAAATTGGCTCGGGGATCGGATCTGGTCATGAGAGGCTTAGTTTGTGCCATCAGCTGCTCGGGCTTCATGCGGTTGGTTGGGTTGCTTGTCCGTCTGTCCATCGCCAGACACTGGTAGGTCCCCCTAAGCTTGCTACGCATGGCGCGGGCGTCGGCCCTATGCCGGTGGGCCATTGTCCGACCACGGTCTTCACTCGGTCCCAGAGGTGTTTTCTTACCCTGCAAACTGCTGACTGGAGGGACGAAAGGCAATCCGGCCGTTGCCAGTGCATCGTGTCTGCGAATGCTCTATAACCAAAGGCATGCTTGATTTACCGAGCGAGTCGTTTGGCTCCGGCGGTGACTTATAGGCCACCACATCCTGAACCGAATCTCGCACAGATAGCTCAGTTGAAAGATGTTTCCCCAGGGTCTTAAAGAGTACTATGCATCCGAGGTTCAAGGTCTCTGTACAGAGCCCCAGAAGCAGAATGTCTTGCACCACGATCTCCACGGCTTTGATGTTGACGATATCGTCCGCACCGCAGCCGCGCACAACACCCCCGCATGGCACGTCTGCAGTGCTGCTTGGTGCATTATTTTGAGTCGTCACACTGCTCACAGTACGTCGAACATTTGGACCGCATGTGAGACCTTCAAGGCGGCGGAAAAGGGGAGCAGGTCGAGCCCTTGGGTCCACGTTGATGCTTCTATCGACGAGGACTCTTCATTCCTGGACTTGCTCCAATCCGGGTTGAACATCAACACGGATGAGGATCCATCCGTCAAGGGTCCACCACATTGTGTGGCGGTGTTGTATTCACGCCCGGTGGCTGAATTGCCCGGTCCCCCCGAAATGCCCTCGGGGTTGACCATCCAGCTCTTTTCCCAACGTCACAGAACAATCCAGGCGATTTGCCACTACCCACGCTGGCTCTCGGCGCATTATACCAAAAAGCTAATCGACCACGGCTTGCACCTCTTACGCCACATCGTACACCACCGCAGCTGGACCACTCTCTTACTCCGCGACATCTCCATGGCCTCTCTGCATGAAGAGCTGCAGTTGCGCCGGCACAGTCTTCCGGGGCGAAGCGTAACCGAAATGACAGTAGGACCGGTACACCAACTCGTCCGCCGCCAGGCCCGAAAAACCCCATCTTCCCCGGCTATCGAGGGCCGGGATAGCGAGATCATCTCTTACTGGATGTTAGATCAGATGACGGACCTGATGGCTGCTGACTTGACCCAACGGCTGATGGCTGTCCCAGCCCGGCCCCTGGCAACGGGTCTAGCGACAGAAGAAGGCCTGGTCATCGGCATCATGTTGCAGCGATCCCCCGCAGTGATCATCACGATCCTGGCATGCTGGAAGGCTCGCTGTGCCATCGTCCTGGTCGACCCGAGCCAACCTGTTCCCCGAAATGCCCACATACTGGAAGACTGCGACTGCGCTCTGGTGGTGGTGGACAATTCCTGGACCGGCGAACTGGCTCCGGACATTGCCTGGCAGTATGACTTTGGGCAGCTGCGCCGGCGAGCGAACGCATGCCCCGTACCCCCAGAGAACTATGCAGGATCCGAGGTTGATCTCTCGCAGGATCTGTTCCAACCCGCATGGATTCGCGTCACATCGGGCTCCACGGGAAGGCCCAAATGCTGTCTGCATAGTCATGCTGCTTTTGGGGCCTCCATTGCCAGCTACGCCGGTCGGATTCGGGCGTCCAAAACACTACTCTTCTTCAATCCAATCTCTTCCGCCTCGGGGACGCCAATCTGGAGCTTCCTCAGTAACGGCGGCTGTGTCTGCATACCTCCCTTGGAGGAGATCACGATGGATTTAGCCGGCTGTGTGGCCCGGTATGGCATTGAGGACGTGTGTATCACGCCCTCAGCTATCGCGCTCACCACCCCTGATGCTGTGCCGTCCCTGAAAACCATTTCTTTAGTCGGCGAAGCGGTGCCGCCGACCCTGGCCCAGACATGGAGCCGGCATGTCTCGTTGTTGATCGGCTACGGAGCTACGGAGATGAACTCCCATGCGCTGCCATTTCATGACGATTCGTAAGTACTCCACATCCGTTCTCTTACCGGCGACATCTTCGCACACAAAGACCCACGCGCTGAGACTTGCTGCAGCACAGGGTGTCTCCCGCCTGGCCATCCCCTTCCCACGTCTGACTATTCACTATACATGCTACAACCCGGCACGGCCAGACTTTGTCCGTTATACGTTCCTGGAGAAATTTGCCTCAGCTCGACCTACATGAGTGCCGGGTATATTGGGCGTTCCGAAGCGACAAGGCAGGTGTTTCAGCCTCATCCCTTCCCCGGCGATGCGGGGCACGCCTGGATATATCGAACCGGGGACCTCGGCATGTTCATCGCGGCTGGTACGTTTATTCTCCTCGGTCGAGTCGATTTTCAGTTTAAGATTGATGGATACCGGATCCAGCCGGAGGAGGTCGAGGCCATCGTCAACCAAGTGCCGCACGTGATGAAAAGCCGAGTCATGCTTGCCCAGTCCGCGGCGGGCAGGCCGATTTCAGTTTGTTGTGTGATGCTGCAGCGGAGCGCTGGCAGCGATGGGGAGCAGGGAGGATCGGCCACTGCTGGGTGGCAGGAATTCGTGGTGGCAGCGGACCACGCGTGCAGCGCCCAATTGCCTGCATACATGAGGCCCCATCGATGGCTGCAGTTTGACACATTTCCCGAAACGCCATCGGCCAAGACGGACACGAAGGCACTTCTTCTGCTTGCGCAAGCACGCATCAACCAAGAAGCAGAAACCAGTCGGGCGGGGGTTGCCGTGAAAGAGGCACCGGGAAACAGCCTCTCCCCCGGCGGCCTCCTGTTTCTAGCCCTGGTCCTTGAGGTATTGACGGGCGAAAATCCCGATCGTCCTACCGCGCAGGTCCGCGACCAGATGGAATCTCTGTCGTTCATTGCAAACGGAGGGACCTCGTTATTGGCACTTCAAACTCGGGCGCGGTGTCGCAGTCACGGGTTGAGCATCAACATTGAGGAGCTATTCACCCCGAAGAGCCTGAGCACCATCGCCTCGACTATCCCCGCGATGGTTGAAGAGGATACTGTCGACCACCAGAAGGCAGGGAGATCTCTACAATCTGTTACCAAGGTTCTCGTCCCACGGCTCCCCGTTGGGTTGAGGCATGAACCGTCGGATTATGAAGCCGTGTTCCCAGTGACCTTGCTCCAACGGGAGATGTTCGCAACGAGTCTCTATGACCCCCGACTCTGGATGTTTTACCAGTTCCTCGACCTTTCAAAGTTCCCGTGTAGCTTGTCGCAAATTCAGGAAGCAGTCGGCCAGGTGGTGGCAGCCAAGGCTAATCTACGGACGGTGTTCGTATCGCTGGACGGGCCCACAAATCTGCAGACGGTGAAGACTCCCGATGATGCGTTCAATCTCATTCGCGGCGGGCAAGTTGTCCAGGCTATCTTGAAGCCGATCGTGGTCGATTTCGAGCTTACGCAGGATGATGAGAGCCAAGAGCCGACGACATATCGACGCGAGGATGTGACACGGCCATGGGTCTTTGGGCGCCCGTTATGGCGCGCGGCGTTTCTCAGCAAGCCTCGCTTGCTTGCCTGGACCATCCACCATTCCATTGTGGATGAGTCCATCTCCCAAAACCTGTCCCAGGATCTGCACGCTCTCCTGACAGCCATCGTAAAGCGGGACGAGGGCGACCCAGCTGCATCAGCGGCCCTGTGTCTCGCGCATTCCCGTGCGGCCAAACCGTCCATCGAAGCCTGGGTGGTGGATCATTATGGGGCTAACGGGCTCGACGAGGCTCCTGTACCGTCGAGTGTGCTTCATGGCCAACGAGCCTGGGAATCCTTCCTGGAGGGCGCCATCGCCACCCCGATCCCCGACGATCGCCGCTTGCCGGACGCGGAGCTGCCCGCTCAGCCCCAAGCGACGACGCTGATCGGGGTCGCCTATGGCGCCTGGTGCCGGGCGCACCACCTCACCCCAGCGGCGCTCTTTCACGCAGTGACAGCACTGACGATCGCGCGAACGCTGGGCTGGTGGCGGCCGCACGCGCCACCGCGCGCCGAGGTCACATATTACAGGCTCAGCGCAAACCGGACCACCGTGGAGGGCGCGCAAGCCATGGAAGGGGCCTTGATTTCCATCAGCCCGATGCGTGTCGCGGTGGGGGCCCATAGCAGTGTGCTAGCGACCATCCAGGGGGCGCTGCGAGCCTGGCTGGCGATCCAGGATGAGGATCCATACTACCTCGACGCAGCGCTCGCCCCACCCGATCCCAAACCTGGAGTGCCGCGCCAGCGCCGCTGGGGAAACGTGCTGCTGAATCACATCGTGAGCAGCAGCCCCAAAGACTCGACTGTGCCCGTGCCTGCCTTTCAGGGCGTCGTTCAGGACAGCGCGGGCTTCGCCATGGTCTGGCCATTCGCCGCACTCGAGTTAACCATAGTCGAGCCGGATTCCGCTACCGGCACGACACTACATGTTGGGGCCTTGTCCATCCTGGAACCCGAGGCAACCTGTCAGTTTCTCAAGATCTTCGAGCGCATACTCCGGCTCATTATTGAAGAAGGCCCGGGACCGAGCTGTGCAGACATTGTGCAGCGCGTTTAGATCCTCGCTGGTGCGGCAACGCCGGAAACAGGGTGCGGTGTCGCTATGCTTTCTGATTTCCCGGGCAGTAATCTAGGGGATGTTATCGCTTAATTGACGCGTTGAATACGAACGCAGGGAATCAGTTTGATAATAGTCAACGCGTATAAATACATCTGAATGCCTCCGCCCAGTGATCTAGTAACTGTCCTTTTTCCCTCTCGACCTGCGCGGCCACGTTCCGCGAGACCCAGACAAAAGCCAGCCGATCGCCGCTGATGGCGTCTCCTTCCAATCTCTAGTTCGTACTGCACCCTTTCTTTATCGTCACCCCTCAGTGCTGTGGTAACCTTGACGCCGGTGCATCCAGCGTCGACGCCACCAGCCTCCTGCGTAAGAATGCCGTGGTGACAGGAGCATCGCGCGGCATTGGGGCGCAGATCGCCCGCGTGCTGGCCACCCGTGGGGCCAATGTAGCCCTCTGTTTTGTCTCCGATAGTCAGCGAGCGAATGCGGCAGCTCTCGCGGAGGACCTGCGTGCTATCGGGGTGCGGACGATCTGCATCCAGGAAGATCTCGCTGCGGACGGGGCCGGCCAGCGCATAATTTCCCAAGCCCTAATGGGCCTCGACGTCACAACCATTGACATCCTCATCAACAACGCAGCTCTTGATCCGCCCACTCCTACCCCGGTCGCTGAGAGCGATCCCTCCCTCTTCGACCGGTGTGCCCTGTCTCTCATCATTTGTTTGATAGATGTCTTTCAGATTCGCGCTGACCACGGGACACGATTAGATTCATGCGAGTGAATGCCCGAGCCCCGCTCGAGCTAGTAACTGCCCTGGTGCCCAGACTGCCGCCATCCGGGGGTCGAATTGTTAGCATGTAGGTCAAAAGAGCGGCTGCCAGGTGGTTGTGCAGGGCAGTTGACATTAGGCTGACCACCTCCAATGATGTCAGTTCCTCGGTGCTCTCGCAGCGACCCGATGTGCCATTCGCCGTCTGGGCTGCGTCCAAGGCTGCCTTGGAGTGTCTTTCTCGGTACTGGGCCATGGAGCTAGCGTGTGCCCACAGACTGACCAGCAACGTGGTTGCGATCGGGCCCACGATGACGAACTATCACCGCCATGACCCGCCCGAGGTGCTGGCCGAACTTGCCCAACTACCGAGTGCCGCCAAACGGCTCGCCACACCCGATGACATTGCGCAGATTGTGGCATTCTTGGCCAGCGATGCAGGACGATGGATAAACGGCGAGGTGATTCAGGGGAATGGGGGCATGGTGTTTGGGTAGCGTGAAAAGGTCCCTGAGAGCCAGCCCCGAGTCTCGGATCTCCGACTCTGGGCGCTTCTCCGAGTCCACACGTTGATTGATACCGTAGATTCAATACATAATTCTCGTGGAAGGAAAGCATTTCCTTTTTAGCATGTATTCTGCTGTGATATTCATCTGTCCCTCATCATGACTGCTCACATTGGCCTGTCTGCGCAGCACGTCGTTGACAGCCTCGGCCATCCAGATGGAGCCTCGCGACCTCCCGTGTCCGCCGAGTCCCTGTCGCGTGCCAGCGAGCTGCTTCAGTCCAACCACGACACATGGCACATTTTCTTCCGGGAGGCGACGGGCCACAACCACATGGCCCATAGTATTCTGACCGCGTTGGCTCTTGGTGCTTCTCCCTCGGAGCTCGAGCGCGCCTACACCGACACCGAGGCCATTCAACGCCCGATTCCCGCGGTAGACCCGATGATCCTCACTCGGCTAGACGCGGACCCGCAGGCCCTGGAGTCCCTGCTGGGTTGGTCCGACTTGTACAGCACCTTCCTCACCTACTTTCAATCCCAGATTGACCGCCACGGGTGGCAATCCGTGGTCACCACGTACGTCTTCTCCGAGACGCCGCTGGCGGAGAAGCTCCTGATCAAGCTGTACGAGGGGATGTACCACTCTCTCATCCACCTGGGGCTGGGAATCGAGTTCGGCCAACCGGGCATCATCGCCGAGGCGCTGGCCCAGGCCGCTGCCCACGAAGACGGACACATTGACAAACTTCTGCTCGGGGTCGAGGCGGCGATCGCTGCCAAGGACGACACCCGGACAGAGACGACGGTACCCAAGTCACTTGTGCAGCTCGTTGACGAAGTGCGCAGCCATCCCCGCATCTGGGCGGACTTGCGCTTCGGTGACCGGTGGAATCGCATGCGTGACAGCATCATGGACCGGGCGGCGGACGAGCTGATCCCTATCGCGGCGCAGTTCCGCATTCCGGCGTCGGGGATGATGATGATGGCCGGGGAGCATGCAGACCTACTAACAATACGTACGGCTGAGATGGCCAGCACTGCCGCTTACCTGGCCGGGGCGAGCCAGTCGGCGCGGCGCCCCCGCAAGATCGACTTCTTTCTGATGCACACGGTGACCGCGTCGCTCTTCTTTAGCGTCTTTAATGCCCAGGAGTGGATTCCGCGAGCTATGCGGGTTCGCCTGGTTGAGTGGAAGGGTCGGCTGGACCTGGCTTTCTACGCCTTCTGCAAGTCCCCGGAGTTAGATGCCTGCGTAATCTCCGACTACTCAGATGATTTTACCCGTGATATGGACTGGGCGGCCTTGTACGCTGCGGTGAACCAAGAGCATGACGACGGGCATGTCGCCAAGTTCATGCGCGCCCTGCGTCACGCCGAACGGTTGAGCCGGCCCTACGAGCAGCATCCGGTGTGGGCGGAGCACTTCCCTGTGAAGGGGAACATGTGGATCAAGCTGGCCCGCATGGCCCTGGAGACCACCCGCCATTCACCTCCGGACTTCAAGTGGATCATGGGCACGGGCTTTGATGAGGCCTGGGAACGGCCGGATCTGAAGTTGGCTGAGAATAGGGGCCAGCAGGGGCAATCCGTACCCTGATAAACTTGCTTGTCATTGTCCTAGGTATATCACTACTAGTGAACCCGCGGTCGAGGTTCGTAAGCAAATGCATAGAACCTATCTCATTCATTATGCCGATTTCGTAGTCACATGAACCCCTTCACCCTGGACAATCAGATTTTGCAAGCTACTTGCCAAACAGAAGCATTGATCTTGGATCGGGTGATATCAGTCTATCGATGTGTGTTTAGCTAGCAAAGGTGTCATCGCATGAAAATAAACAATATTCTAAATGAGATAAACAAGTGATACTTTGGGACCATTTCTAAGCATCATACTCTCTCCCACACATATCCACCACCTCGCCGCGCTAGCTAGTATATGCAGAATGTAAGAAATATGATGAAAGCAGGGCGTTCTGGATACGTGTTCCCAGTGATTTCTTGGTTCCTTGGTTGGGTGGTTGGTTGAACTAGCTGAGTTCTCGAGATAGGCAACCCGCCTGGTACATTGCCTGGGATCACGTGGCCAGATTATTCAGCTGCGCCGACACAGACCGTTTGGATTTGGATGCTGCAACCCTGAGAAATACACATTCATGCACAGATGCCACTTCTGGAGACTCAGGGTGAAGTCTAACGGGGACCGGGAAAGGGCAAATAAGGGTGCAACATGGGAAAGTAATACCGCAGCACACCCGTCAAGAGACAGCCGATTGTACCGGGGGGGAAACGGGCGCTACCATTTGTATTCACCACCCCGACATTCTTCATATCATACTGGCCCTCGGGGTCGTCCGCCGCTTCGACCATGGCCGCCGCCAGGTCCAGGTACGAGATGAAGGACTCCTCGTGGTGGAGGTCCAGCCGATGACCTCGCTGCTTGTCCACGGACAAGCCCCCCGGTTTGATGAAAATCGTGGTGACGAGGTCCTGCTCGGAGCGTAGAAATGTCTCAGTCCGTTTTAGGTCATCATAAACATGCTTGGAGGCGGTCAACAAGAACGCCCTTACAAACCACGGCATCCTTTCCGAAAGGTGATCATCAATGGTGGCTGATGACAGCAACACCACCTTCGGTAGCGAGTTCACGCCGCCGTCCGCCGTTCGAAGTTGCTTCAGAGCTGCAATGAGGGTCTGGGCCGTCTGCAGGCCAACATTACAGCCGGGGATATTCGTATTGGTGCTCACAACATGGAAGACGGCCTTCGTTCCCTGCACGCACTGCGCCAGGAGGTTGATGTCGTCAATACCCCCCTCGAAGATCTGGACACTCTTATTGTCGACAGCAGCAGGAGACAAGGCCAAGAGTTTAGCCCGGCTGCGACAATACGCGCGGATCGTTACCGTGGAATCCCGCGATAGGACGTCGAGAAGGGCGGTGCCACAGTTACCGGTAGAACCAATGATAGCATAGGTAGACATACTTGAGGCTTTAGGGACTTCGAGCCCAAAAAAATTCAAGAGTACTCTTCAATGGAATTCCCACACGGCACTACCGAATCCACCACAGGAGGGAGGGGTGTCTTATCTCTCTGCTCGCGCCAGAGGCCAGCCCTAATCTCGGAATTCCGACACGGAGTTCGGTCAACCACGCGTTGCCCGGCAAGGGAGAACTCGCAAACTACGGAGTACCACAGTGCTTTTAAATAAGGTTTCAGTTTGCGTAGTTTCCTGTGTCCACGGCCTTATTTCCCTATTCCGCTCGAAAACAGACCAATACGCATATGTCTCATCAACAATGGCGAAACCTACCGCTCCTTGTTTCGAAGGTTGAGCCCCACATCCCCTTCTCCCACCCGCAAGAGTCCCAAGCTATTGACGCGTTCATGCGGCAGATGTCCTTGGTTGTCAGGCAGCCCTTTATGAATGGGCGGAGAGTTATGACACTAAAGACTGGGATCGTCTCGCCCAGTGCATTGCTCCCACGCTCCGGGTATGCTCCCTCCCAGAAGAATGGAACTCGACCTCCAAGGTTTCTGCGCCTGCTAAACTCGTCCCCACCTGTTTTCATAAGATCGATTACCGTGCTTTCTTGAACAAGCTCTGGGAAGAAATGCCTGCGCCTGAGTTCCTGCTCATGGCGTCCGATCTCAAGTTCCTGGGCAACCGTCGCCTGAAGACGCAGCATTTCGTCGGCGGGGCGTCTAAGTGGCTCCAAACCAGCGAGGATGAGATCACTGGCCAACATCAGATGCGCGTCGCTCATCAGAAATACGCCGACGATGCGCTGAGCGAAGTCGCCCTTAAGGGCCACGCCCACGGGCATGCCACCATCTGGTATCGCAGGGTGGAGGGGCAATGGCGGTTTGCTGGCATCGAGCCGGGCATCCGCTGGTCAGAATATGACCATGACCGGATCTTCTTCGAGGGTGAAGAGAAACTTGGGGAGCCGCAGAGTGATGAATGCGCTTGTTGATTGGAAGGAAGCTCTAAGGAGGATAGGTATTGGTTGCGTAGCTTTCACATTGTTTTCTGTTTTTTCTTTTATTTTTTTTTCTTATTTTTCAGAAACACTGTTATTTCCAATGCCGATTTGCCATTCTTCCGTTATAGCATATACTCTATTGCCGGTAAGAAAAGGACACCCGAATCAGGCTTAACCGTTCGGTCCGGTTGTGATCTCTCTGGCCCATCACTTTTACACTCCTGACCAAACCTTCGAGATATATTTCAAAACATCCTGAGATACAGTCATTATCTTCTTAACTATGACCGAGCACTTGAACGAGGTGTGATATGCCATGCCGCTACTCTAAAACAGATTGAAATGCTTTTTCCCCTATTTCTCTTTTTTTATTTTATTTCAAATTCTATTATTATCTTGGTCTATGTATACATATATCTTTGAAACTTCCATGAGTCTCTCGTATTACCTAAGGTGTGCAATATTCGTGGCCGGGAAGGGTGGAAGACACTAGTTACAGGCAACGTAGCCAGAATCAATGACTCTATTGTCCGCGCCTAAAGGTCAGACACTCTATGAAGAGGAGGGTCTCTATTCGGAGTCACCATCGTAGCTGATGATCCGAGGAAGAGATTAAGCAATGTGCTTTGGCACAAGCCGGAGTTCGCAGTGATGAGTCGATAGAAGCACTTGGCCCAGGATTCTACTTCCACAGAGTCAGTCGAGCGAATCCCCGAGAGAGCAGAGGGCAAGGCCGAGCATATACCGGGGATCGCAATAGCCCGACAGCCGGTGTCCCAATCAAGCTTTTTTTAAACAAAAATACGCGGAATGGAGATGACCACCGCCGGGGTCTGTACGCTCTAGGAGAGAGGCCCGCGACAGCTCTGAGCCACGGGTCAGGGGTTCAATGCTACGGTATCAATTGACTCCATGGCTCGTCTCTCGGGAATGGGCTATAACGGACATATTTTCGTAGGGGCTGGTTATATCAAGCTGTTTCACACGCCATATTGGCAGCTCACAGACACAGTGACTTAATTCCTGTGTACAAGCCATCATGGCAATTTACACTCCCTCTCGCTCTGAAGACGACGGCAGCAGAGAGCCTGTTCAGTTGCGAGTCCTCCACTTCTCCAATGAGTTCCCCAAGGATGGATTGTGCACCTTATTCCGTGCCCTGCATTGCCGCAGCAAGGATCGAAGATACCCACTCCTTGCGCGCTTCCTAGAGGAAGCCACCCGTGCGCTGCGAGAAGAAATACGGGGGCTCCCAAGCAGCCTAAATCAGCTGGTGCCCCCCTTTGAATCCATTCTCAACTTGGCCAGCTTCACCGACCTCCGCCACGGACCACTGGGGGGTTCGGTGGAGGGCCTGCTTCTTTGCACCGTCCAGTTAGGAACCATTATTGGGTACGTACAAAATATGAATCGTGATGGAGACCTCGAACTGATAGACCAGATATTATGAGCAACATCCAGAAACCTTCCCTTCGGACAGCACCAGCACCGTCTTGACGGGGCTTGGGATGGGCCTTCTCGCGACAGCAGCTCTATCTCTCGCGGCTACGGTGGCAGATCTGCCCTCGTCCGCCGCAGAAGTGGTCCGCCAAGCCTTCCGACTTGGGATCGTGGTCGACGAGGTCTCAAAGAACTTGCAGCCGCGGGAGACAACGACCCCGAGTGCGACGCCTGATCCCTGGGCCTACGTGATACCAGGGGTAACGGCCGAGGAGATCCAGCAGGATCTGGATGTACTCCAGAAGCAAACTCCGGAGGCTAGTCGCGTCTTCATCAGCGCGGCCAGCGTATCCTCGGCGACAGTCAGTGGGCCGCCCGCCCGGTTGAAGGAGCTTTTCCGCACAGCGTACGTCTTTAGCAACCGCAAATTCGTACCGCTCCCGGTTTATGGTGGCCTCTGCCATGCAGGTCACATCTATAACGACGAGCACGTCCGTCGCGTGGTGCGCACCCCATCAATATCCGGTCATCACGGAAGGAGTGTGCCGTGTCTCGCTATTCTCTCCACCTGCGACGGGCGCCCGTTCACGGGTCAAGATGCGACGGAGTTGTTGGAGCAAATCGTTCGCGAGATTCTCACGCGGCGGATTGAGTGGGCGACAGTCGTTCAAGGGGTCGTGCAGCAGGCCCAGGGCATAAACGCCGAGCACTGTCATCTGCTCGTCTTCCGAAACTCTCTTGCTAGCCATGACCTCGCCGCGGCCCTGCAAACTATTAACCCTGCCGTAGAAATCTCGACTGATGAAATCATTCCTTGGCTGCACGAGGCCCAGACCCCGGCAGACGATCTCCTCCCTCGAGGACCCCAGCAATCGAAGATTGCCATTGTGGGCATGGCCTGCCGACTGCCTGGTGGGGCCATTAATACCGAGAGGTTCTGGGAGCTGCTTGAGAGCGGCTTGGATGTCCACCGCAAGATACCCGCGGATCGCTTCAACGTCGAGAGCCACTTTGACCTGGATCGAAAGCGGCTCAACTGCAGCTGGACCCCCTATGGATGCTTCATTGATGAACCAGGCTTATTCGATGCCCCGTTCTTTAATATGTCGCCGCGGGAGGCGGAGCAGACGGACCCTATGCAGCGGCTAGCCCTTGTTACTGCGTACGAGGCATTGGAGCGAGCTGGATATATGGCTAATCGTACATTCTCTACTCGATTGTCTCGAATCGGGACCTTCTATGGCCAAGCGAGTGATGACTATCGCGAAGTGAATACCGCCCAGGAAATCAGTACGTACTTCATCCCAGGTGGTTGTCGAGCATTCGGCCCGGGGCGAATCAATTATTTCTTCAAGTTCGCGGGACCCAGCTACAGTATCGATACTGCCTGCTCCTCAAGCTTGGCAACGATCCAGGTACGTTGCACAGTGGCTCTTGCCCTCCCCCTGACTCTGAGATTCCCGGCTATTAGTTGAGTTGCTCTAACTGGCAGAGAATTGAATCCGTAATCCAGGCTGCCTGTACCTCCTTGTGGAGCGGGGAGACCGACATGATCGTGGCCGGAGGAATGAACATCCTGACAAATTCAGATGCATTTGCGGGTCTCAGCAACGGTCATTTCCTCTCAAAGGGCGCCAATGCGTGCAAGACGTGGGACAGCGAGGCGGACGGATATTGTCGAGCAGATGCGGTAGCCTCGATCGTGCTTAAACGCTTGGAGGATGCTGAGGCCGATAACGACAATATTCTCGGTGTGATTGCAGCTGCAGGCACAAACCACTCTGCCGAGGCGGTCTCCATTACGCACCCGCATGCTGGCCACCAGGCCGATCTGAGTCGTTTAGTACTCGACCGGGCCGGTATAGATCCTCTCGATATCAGTTATGTGGAGATGCATGGCACAGGAACACAGGCCGGTGATCTGGAAGAGATCCAGTCAGTGACCAATGTCTTTGCACCCATATCAAGGCGCCGCAGTTCAAATAATCCACTTTATATTGGAGCTGTGAAGGCCAACGTGGGCCACAGTGAGGCCGCAGCCGGAGTGACTGCGCTGCTTAAAGTCCTCCTCATGATGCAAAACAATTTAATCCCTCCCCATATCGGGATTAAGAATGTACTGAACCCCAAGTTCCCTCGGGATCTCGAGACACGCAACGTCCATATTCCGTATACGAAGGTCGAATGGCCGCGTGTGGCAGGGAGGAAGCGCTTAGCAGCTGTCAACAACTTCAGCGCGGCTGGAGGCAATACAACAGTGGTCATCGAGGATGGGCCGATTCGCACAAGAATAGGCAGCGATGAGCGCTCGATGCATGCTATAACTGTGGGAGCGAAGAGCAAGGGGTCCTTGCGGAGAAACATTGAGCAATTACTTACCTTCCTCGAGCAAAATCCTAACTTGCTTCTAAGCGATCTCGCCTATACGACTACCGCTCGTCGCTATCATCACAATCACCGCGTGGCTGTGGTGGCAGCGGACCTTGCACAGGTACGGAAGCAACTGGAATCAGCACTGGTCAGCCTCGACGAACATAAACCAGTCTCTCTAACGGAGCCACCCCCTATTGCCTTTGCCTTCACCGGGCAGGGGGCTTCATTCCGCTCCTATCATCTTGAGCTATACCATCAAGCACCTTACTTTCACTCCCAGATCCGGCAACTCAATGTTATTGCTCAGGACCAGGGATTTCCATCCTTCCTCTCCGTCGTCGACGGCAGTTATCCCTCCACTCACCTGCACTCGCCGGTCGCCACGCATCTTGCGCTAGTCTGCGTGCAGATTGCGCTCGCCCGCTACTGGGCGACCTTGGGCGTGCGGCCGGATGTGGTGATCGGCCACAGTCTAGGTGAGTACGCCGCACTGCAAGTCGCAGGGGTTCTATCTGCAGCCGATACGATCTTCCTCGTGGGTCATCGCGCTCGGTTACTCGAACAGCGGTGCCAAGTAGGCAGCCATAAGATGGTGGCAGTGCGCGCCTCGGTAGAGAAGATACAGCAGACCGCTGGTGATCGTCCGTATGAGATTGCGTGCATCAACGGACCTCAGGACACTGTGATCAGTGGCACCGTCACCGAGATGGATAGTCTAGTTCCAATCCTGGAGCAGGCACACTGCAAGTGTGTCAGTCTGGATGTCGCATTTGCCTTTCACTCGGCTCAGGTCGATCCCATTCTCGAAGACTTCGAGTTGCTCGTTACTCATGGCGTGCTCTTCCAGCCCCCACAGATCCCCGTAATCTCCCCTCTCCTCAATAAAGTCATCTTCGATGACCGGTCCCTTGGTGCCCAGTATATGCGGCGCGCGACCCGTGAGACGGTGAACTTTCGATCCGCCATCGGGGCCGCGTACGAGATGAGCACCATTGACGACGAGACTATTTGGATCGAGATTGGTCCGCACCCAGTCTGCACAGGCTTTATCCGAGCAACCATAGCCTCGTCTTCGGCCACTGTAACCGGGGCCCCTATCACAGCGGCCTCGTTACGACGAGGCGAGAACAATTGGACAACCCTCACACGGACTCTGGCCACGCTGCACTGCGCAGGGGTACCCATTACCTGGAATGAATTTCATCGGCCGTTTGAGCCGGCTCTGCGACTGTTAGACCTGCCCACATACGCCTGGAACGACAAGACCTACTGGATCCCGTACAAAGGGAACTGGGCCCTGACCAAAGGCAACACCTTCTACGAGACCAAGCAAGGGGCTACTCGAGGAGAAATCCTCTCAAGCCTCCGCACATCGGTCGTGCAGCGGATTGTGGAGGAGCACTTCGATGGCGCTGCGGGCAAAGTGGTGATGCAGGCCGATCTGATGCAGGCCGATTTTCGGGCGGCGGCTTGGGGGCACAAGATGAACAATTGTGGTGTGGTGACTTCGGTTGGTTCTTCCATCGCTTCTTACTCCTACCAATCTCTGACTCTTCTCACTAACCTCATAAATTCCCACACTGCTTAGTCCATTCACGCCGACATTGCCTACACCCTGGGCGGATACCTGTACAGGAAGCTACACCCGTACCAGCCCCAGCCGGCCCTGAATATCGCCAATCTCGAGGTTCTCAAAGGGCTTGTCGCCAATAACAACCCCGACAAACCGCAAATCATTCAAGTGGCGGTGTCGACGACCGGCGGTCAGACGGCGCAGCTGCGGTGGCACAATGTGCAGGCGAATGGGTCCGTGGAGGAGCCCTTCGCCAGCGCGAACCTCATCTATGGCCAAGCTGACGACTGGCGCGCTTCGTGGGCGCCCCTGGCTCATCTGGTGCAGGGGCGCATCGGGCAGCTGGATCAGCTGGCCCGTGAGGGCGTTGCGACACGATTCAGCCATAAGATGGCATATCAGCTGTTTGCCAACAACCTCGTCGATTATGCATCCAAGTATCGCGGAATGCAGGCGGTTGTTTTGCACGAACTAGAAGCGTACGCGGATGTGACCCTCTCGCGCGAGCAGGGTGGCAGTTGGACAGTGCCTCCACACTTTATTGACAGCGTTGCTCACCTCGCTGGATTTGTGATGAATACCTCTGATGCCATCGATACCAAGAACCACTTCTGCGTGACGCCTGGCTGGCAGTCAATGCGGTTCGCACGGCCGCTGGTTGCCGGAAACCAGTATCGGTCGTACGTGAAGATGATCCCTACTGACGACGATCCCTCCATCTATCTGGGTGACGTCTATGTGTTGCAGGAAGGGATGATCATGGGCATGGTGGGCGGCATCCAATTCCGCCGGTACCCACGGATTCTGCTAGGCCGCTTCTTCTCAGCCCCGGACGATCACGAAGCACCGTCGGCGGCCGGGCCTACCGCACTCAGCACGGCCCAGCCTTCCGCTCCACCGGCCTTTGTCGCTGCTCGCGCTCCGCTGCCCACTCCGCCCCTAGTCGACAGCCCCGTCGAATCCCCGCCGACCGTAGCCACATACCCGGACACCATCACTGCCCGCGCCTTGGAAATCATCGCCGCGGAAGCAGGTCTCGATCGGGCCGAGCTGACTGACGAATGCGATTTCGCGGGCCTCGGCATCGACTCGCTCATGAGTCTGGTGATTGCGGAAAAATTCCGGGAGCAGCTGCGCGTGGTGGTTTCGGGAAGTCTGTTCTTGGAGTATCCTACCATTGGAGACTTACGGTTCTGGCTGGAGGAATACACTTGATGTTGATTCTGAGCCCGTCGTTGTTAGGATTACAGTACATTCTATGGCAAACGGTTTCGAAGCGTAGAGCTTACACGATCTTTCCTAAATCTCCCTTCTGATGGTCGCGGACTCGTGCTCAAGTATGCTGGGCTCGTAAATTCAACCAGTCATCGGAATAGCTTTCTGTAGACCATGTGTTTCAATTGCTGACACAACCAGTGATTTTCTTCCCTCTCTCATGCTCGCGTTGTGGTAGTTGCTAGAGCATGAACAGCACAATCGGTGACTTCCCTCCCGCAACACGACCGAGCAGCATCCCTTACCCGATCATGACGACCTTATCGTCACCCCCATTGGACATGGGCGGTATTCGGCAGTAGCCGATTCTTCAGCCCTTATAAGTCGTCAGTTCCCCGGCTCTGTGGCCCTCCAAGTCCGTCCATTTCTTCCCCTCGGACCCTTCCACCTCTGCCTTTCCTCTAAACAACGTACCTCTTTGCCATTCAGGCCACATCCGATCACCACTATGAGTCTCCCGATTCCGCCACGCCCGGCGGATAATAGCACCTCCCACTCCCTCTGCCTCACGATCTGCGGCTACCGACGCCCGGGAATGAGCGAGTTCGACTACCGCCAGCATATGACGCAGGTCTCCGCTCCAATGACCGCAGATCTGATGGTCAAGTACGGAGTGAAGCGCTGGACGATGGTGAGTCGTGACATTCAACATGCGAGTCTAGTATGCCTCCGAGAGACATCGCCAACGCGAAACTAGATCCACAATACCACCGAAAGTCGGGCGCTCATGGATCAACTGATCGATCCGCAGATGGCCAACATCGCCGACTTCGATTGCTTCAGCCAAATGGTGCTTCACGACCTAGCGGACTACAAGCGGCTGAAAGAGGATCCCTGGTACCGGGAGCATCTGGTCGGGGATCATGAGAAGTTCGCCGACACGCGGCGCAGCATGATGACCATCGGGTGGGTGACGGAGATCGTGCGTGATGGGCAGGTGGTGAAGCACAGCACTATGCCCCATCCTATGGTCGCACCGGCCCTGAGGAGGAGGCGGAGGAGCTCCTTCAACCCGCACGTAGCCGCGGTGATGACAGGCTCGATTCTCGCCGGTAAGTGCATTTTCTCTTCCCCCACCGCCCAACACCATCTCCTAGCTCCTGTCAGCCCAGGGAGGAGGTGGGGGAAGGGGGAGGGGGGCGGAAAAAAACCAGCCAGCCCTTCGAAGAGGAAAGATGCCGACAGCTGATACGCAAGAAAACTGAATTTGGGTGGGGGGCCGCAGGTGCCATGCTATCCCTCTCGTTCATCGCTGTCCCCGTCCTCCTCGACACAACCACTCACCCCCCGCAACTTTTCCACAAGTGGAGCCGACTGTATCACTATGGTCACGTCGTGCTCCCCTCCACTGCCATCCTAACCGGCCTGCTGTACATCTACGCAGCGGTTTGCCACCACCAAAGGTCCAGCCGAAGGTGGGGCGCGCTAGCCCTCGCCGGGGTGCTGACGGTGGCTATAGCTCCCTTTACTTGGCTGGTTATGGCGCCCAGCAATCATGAGCTGTTTCGATTGCAGGCTGTCACTAGTCAGATGGAACTGGCAGGTATAGCAATTGGCCCTGCGCAGGCCTTAATCGGTCACTGGCGGAATCTGCATATGGTGCGGTCTTTGTTACCCTTGCTGGGGGCGATAATTGGGGCCATCGCAATGATGGGGTCATAGTCTGTCTGGCTTCGGAACCCGTGTCGCAGCCAGGTGTCAGCTAGAGATTCTCAGTGGGGAGACAGAGGGCGATGACCGAGACCCGGATCTGCGACGGGTCAGCAAGACCCAGCGAAGGGGGAAGGGGAAGGGTAGGCGCTGCGAGCCGCCGAACAAGCCAAAGTAACACCTAAACATCCTAAGATATCGGATGTTCAATCCCACTCTCGTTGTAAGACGCTGCAGAGACACATGTTATTTTCCTACTTTCCCCAGCTTGTTACCTGTCTGGTACTTGATCGTTTTTCCAAATGTCAATAATTGATTGCGTTATTCTTTAACGGCTAATACATATTTGATTGTATCCTACCTTGCTGTGGAAATCTATTTCTATTCTTGTCGGTTCGCTTCATCTTCTTCCTGGTATTTTTTATTGTTTACTTTTCGGAATTCCGACCCGTTGCATTTCCCATTCAAGTATCTATTCTTCTACACTATGTATAATCTGTTTTTCTGATCTTGATTTGTTGGTCGGCCGCATCGATTCTCACACCGAGAGGACCGGGCTACAAAGAGACTCCGATTGGCGGAGCACTCATTACGAGCAGTCCCTCACCCCTAAATTATTGTATATACTTGCATCAAAGCAATGTCATAGAGTATAATTGAAATAAGTAGGAGAGGAGAGGGTCCCCGCCGGAGACGATCAGCCAGGACCGTGCAAGCGAGAGCGGATCCTCGCGGGGTTAAACTCGGCCATCGGGGATCGGCCATCGGGGATCGGCCATCGGGAATCGGCCATCAGGGAATCGGTCAACGGGCACGGGAAAAGCTGCAGGATGAAGAGTTCAAGATTAACTTCTCATGTCTATTGTAGCTTGACTGCCCAACAATAGAGTGAGTGGGCCAGGAACTCTGTGAGGCGGGAATAGTGAATTAGTAAATCTTGTCATGTCGTCCGCAAGTGAATGGCGACAAGATGAAATTTGAGAGGCTTGGGATCGATACCGCACCTAGTATACATGCTCAAATGCCTTAAAGAATCTATGGAATTCACTTTATCTCAACGTGAAGAGGGAACAAGACCTTCATCAATTAGCATACTCCTATAGATTGTGTCCGACTCAGTATTGAGCACTCCGCTTCATCATAATCAGCGAGCAAGGCCTGTAAAGGCCCTGCAGCGCCGTCATACCATCAGACCAGCGAAAAGACCTCGCAAGTCCCGGACAACGTGAATGGCTGGTTCAATGTGTTTATGAGCTTTGTCCTCGGCAATACTTGACAGATCGCTCATAGTTCAAACCGGCCGATCTTGGAGTAAAAGATAAAAAAAACCAAGGGGGAGGCCAGGAGAACCCCCGATCCTCGCTTTGACTAGCTGCAACGTTTCAAGTTTCTTGCTTACAGTGCAAGTAATTGACTGCTTCTGTAAACCGTTTCCAACTTTCTCAACCTCTCCCCGTGCTGACAAACGACGTCGAGAATCATATCCCAGACACCATCATTGCCTGATTGGCCTGCAATCCACCGCCACAAGATGACCCAAGAAGCTCTCCAGAACGGCAGCCACTATGTCGAGCCGGCCGATGTTCCCCTGGTGGACTTCCGCGCGCTCACTTCGCCAGACACCAACCGACGGAGAGTTGCCGTAGCCTTGCTGGACGCCGCCTTTCGTGAATGGGGTTTCGTCCAGCTTCATAACCACGGGATAGGCGCTGACAAGCTGCACGAGGCCTTTCAGTGGGTAAGTTCTTGCTTACAATCTCCTGCCGCTGTCTTCTTTTCCTCTCTCACTGTCAATCTCTCTATGATCCTATTAAAACCCCACCACGAAGAAAACAAGACTCCAACTGGCTAACCCCACAGCCACGCGCAGGCCGAGCGGTTTTTCATGCAACCCACTGCCACCAAGGAACTAATCGCACACCCGCCCAGCGGCGATGTCGACACCAACCGCGGCTGGGCGCGAGTAGGGCTGGGCTACACGGTGCATATGGAGTTTGACGCGGACAAAGCGGCGGCCATCCGCCAGCAGAACCCAGACTGCAAGGAAACGCTGGAGCTGGGCAATCCGTTTGACGCGACGCTACCGCCCAACCCGTGGCTGCCGGAGGGGACACTGCCGGGCTTTCGAGGGTTCCTGGAGGGTTGGTGGACCGACTGCGCGATCCTGGCCCATGACCTGTACCGATGCCTGGGGGAGGCGCTCCGCATCAGTGGTAGCAGCGGCGGCGGCCCGGACGAGACGAAGGAATCGGTAGGGATAGCGGCAGCAAGAGTAATGGACCAGAATGATCACGATGATTACTTCAATCGCATTCACTCTGCCAACGACTGCCACATGACGTGGAACTACTACCCGGCGATGTCGGCGCGGGCGCTCAACGTCGACGGGGCCAAGCGACTCAACGCGCATACCGACTTCGGCAGCCTGACGCTGGTCTTCCAGGATGCAGTTGGGGGGTTGGAGGTTCACGATGGCCATCAATTCCGTCCCATCATGCCGGTTCCGGGGGCTCTTATCGTCAACGTGGGCGATATGCTGGAGCAACTCTCTAACGGCCGCTGGCGAAGTTCCCTGCACCGCGTAGTCGCTCCTGCGCCCCTGATGTTGCCGCCAATCCAAGGGGTTCCGGGGGATGATAGCCACGGGTTGGAGACAAAGGAGGAGAAAATGGTGGTTGACCGCTACTCTCTGGTCTTCTTTGGGGTGCCTAATCCGAATGAGGTGATTGCGATCGCCCCGGGCTGTGAGACTCCGGGTAAGTGGAAGCCAAATATGTGTGGGAACTGGGGCACGCTCACAGCCCGCCAGTGGATCCGAAAACGACTGGCAATGGAATTTTAAACCCCTTACTATATAGACCGATATCCGCATGCTATAATGTCAACGATATTTTTAATGGGGGTTGTGCTGCGACCCCCTTTGCGGGATAGATATAGATCAGAGAACAGTGACTGGTAGAGATAGATCCACGCAGACTCCTAAAAGAAGATGATCTAAGGACACAATGAAGAACCTAAGCCTAATGGTACTTCATCACAGCACACAACAGAGGGACTTCCCTTGTAGCCCCGGCTAGAAAAGATTTTGAACTCTTGACTTCCGATCTATTTTATTCCTTGCCAAAAAGAATACTCATTGCGTGGCCCAGCCCCTCAACTACTTCCTTCAACCATCAGTGCACCGGTACTCCATACCACCTCTTGACCCCCTGGCGCAATCGAAATGCGACCCGGCCATCCGCCGCTAACTTGCGCAAGACCTCCTCCATAAACGGCTCCACGGCAGTCTGCCGGACGCCAGGATCGAGACCGTCCCCGTGCATGACTGTCACTAACTGCTGCACGGTCACACTGCAGGGACCGCCGCTGCCACGGGCGACCTGATCCAGTGCGGCCAGCACTTGGTCTTCGCGCCGGAGTTTGGAGGCTAGCTCAGCGGCGATCTTACCCGGAAGGTTACGGATCGGTGCCCCATGGGCCGGGTAGCCCGTGGTGCAGCCGTGGCTCTGCATCGTGCGCAGCGAGGCCATCCAGGGCCCAAGCTCCTCAACAGCGGCGGTTCCATGACCGAGAATGTTGTCGCCGGTGAACTATGAGGACCCCCCTCCTCCCCCCCACCCGCGTTCCGCGGGCAGGGATGGGGAGAAAACGTTAGCGCTCAAGGGCAAACAACCGTGCAACCGGAGAAATAGTATACTGACCATGGCATGCTCCTCCTCGAGGATGAAGCACGTATGGTCGTGCGAGTGGCCGGGAGCGTGCACGGCGCGGACCGTTGCTCCTTCAACCTGGAAGACCTGTCCGTCACTGATGGGTTGCAGGGCCTGGCCGGGCGTGTGTTTGTAGAATTCATCGACAAGGTCATCCGGATACAGGCGCAAAAGGTCGGGGACGCCCCCCGTGTGGTCCCCGTGCCAGTGTGTGAGCAACACGCTGGAAAGACGAGCCCCGGTGGTTCTCAAGGTCTCGGCGATCAGATTCGCCCACTCGGGGATGCCCTGACCTGTGTCGATCAGCAGGCGGCGGCGGCCGGTGCCCACCAGGTAGGTGTTGGTTCCCTGCAGTGTAAATGGCCCGGGATTCTGCCCCAAGATCCGCCAGACGCGTGGACTGAGCTGCTCAGCGTCTGCCAATGCGGGTAGCCGGGATATTTGAGCTTCTAGGTAGTCTTCAAAGGCGTTGATGTTGAGGGCTTTGTTGATCTGGCGGTAGCCGCCCTTGCGCGCGGGTTTCGTGGGAAAGCGTTGATGACTCCCCATTCTCAGGCCGCTGAGAAACTCTGTCGCAGTCGTTGGGTCTGGTGTACATTAGATTGCCTGAACAATGCAGAACTTTTATGGTTACGGTGAATGGGAAGGGTATGAATCCCGGGAAAGGACCCCGGACGGCTTCTGTAGTCCCGATCGAGCCACCTTCGGGCATGATATCGGCTCTCGGTACAGTGGAAAGTCCTCATCTGAATCCATCACCAGAGGCATTTCTCGGACAAAGTGATCCAGAGAGCGAGTAGCGATTAATGATCAAGCTACGAAGTGCCCGTCGTTCTCAATGTCAGGTTAGATCCACCTCGGTGATGCCTGATGCCAGCGATTGCGTAGAGTACGCCGTGAAAACCTCCTCTCTCCTCCCCTCAAAATGCCCCAGGTTTAACCATTGATCTTGGCGAATCATCTAGTAGTGAGATAAGAAGAGCATAACGGTGGCCTAGAATATCTGTCCACAGCTAAACCTTGATTAAAAAGTCCTACTGCGTCAGCGATTTTGATGAATTATTCTTTGATGAATTATTGTGTATTACTACTGCCGGTCTGCATACTCCTGATACTTGAGCTCTAGACCAATGGCGCCGTTATTTGCTGTGGATTTCACCTTTTTCACCACGACAAACCGACCCTCACTGTCACCCACCCCGTTCAACAGATTGATTAGCTCTGAGATTTCCGGCTCCCGATCGTTGGCGAGCTGCAAAAAAGAGAGGTCGCGAATACGAGTGAGCACCGCCACCTCGGTGCCCCTCGCCCCCCGCTCAGGCAGCGCGGGTGCTGTGAGAACCAGCGTCGCTGCCGGGCTCAAGCGCAACGCCTGCAAATGTGCTCGCAGCTCCGTCTCGAGCTGCGCGGAGATGGAGCATGATGACACGCCCGGGAACGGGAGGGGAAAGTTGATGATATAGACCGCCGCGTCTTGAATCTGCTGGGGCGTACCCGGTGTGCGATACTGCACTGTGATCTGCGAATGGGAGCGGATGGCCCGCGTACGGTCATACTTGGCCTCATCTTTGCCGCTACCAGACGCAGAGCTGGGCAGGTGAATTTGAATGATGAACCGGAGCGTAGGGTATCGATTAGCAAGCGTCATCGCACGGTCCAATGAACGCGCTCCCACCTGCGTGTGGCGCACGCACGGTCAGCATGACAACGGGGTGCGTGAGAACATTCAGACGAGAAAGAGAAACCGCAGGTACCTACCTCGACCACTGTCGCGCTGGTGCCTTGGAATGAGTTCAAACAGGATATAATATCTGTGGCCGTGTCACATAGGTTTCCGGTGCCAAATCGTAGATACGCATACCACTGCCGCTCCAGCCGAGGCAGGGCCGTCTCGTCGAGGGTGGAAGAGGTAACCATATTGATAATATTATTGTTTTGTTCAACTTGATTTACCCGTTCACACATGCCGGCTGTGCGCTGTCGAGTGATTGAGGGCATGTTCAGGGCAGCGGGAGTTGTGATTCTAGCCAGGAACATCGCGGCGTCAAGGTAAGAGGGATTCGTCACGAAAGCAGCCGACAACGGACTGTGAGCCACGTGCCCAAGTTCCGGCTCTTGCAGAAAGCCTGCAGTGATTGCCATACGCACGATCCGACAGATGTGGTTTTCAGGAACGCCAATGAGCTCCGCGACATCTTTGATGGAGGCACTGCCGTCGAGCGGGATGCAGGCTGGCACTTGGAACTCTCCTAGCCATTGTAAGCACGCAAGAAGCTGGGTCTAACCACCAAGAAGTTAGTATGATGAGAGTCCCAAGTGGTATTTTCGTTCGCGTTTGAGCGACCATGTCAACCCAGATAACAGAACATGAGTCGAGGAGATGATACCTGGCTCGCCATGTGCTGGAGGACATCAATCGGACCTGCCAGCGAAACTTGCAGCTTCGCAAGACATTTCAGTACCGTCTCTCGTGCTCGGGTCGCCTCCCCCGATTCCCCAGTCGTTGACCACGGTGAAAGCCCTGGGATCATGCCTTCAGTCGTTCCATCGACGGCCGAAGGACAATGCTCCGTGAGCTGCTTGAGGGCTGCTAAAAGCTCACGAGTTTGGCTTTGGAGCTGGGCCAGATTGAGCATGGCAGGTAAGGAAATATATGTGTTGCACGGAATCAAAGGGGGCAGGTTCTTAAAGTGTAAAAGAGAGACACTGTGATCAGTGGATATAGATCTACAGAATTGAGGACAAAATGAATGTCCCTCGTTATAAAGCGTGGTTTCCCCGCCTGCCTCGGCCTTGCCCCTAACCATTTAGTCAATCCATCTGAATCAAGTGGCTGATCTAGGAAGATACCGTCTGGTCAGGCAATTCAGACCATGAATCCGATCCAGGTCCTTAGTATTCGCTTCATCACATAGGCCTAATTGACAAGGTAGTTGTCGCCGCGATTCCAAGTCAGGCCACGGGCCATTCGCAATATAGTGGGCGGCCGATTTCTAGCGCTAGCTGGGGGAGAAACGCGGCCGAATTTACCCCTCGTTTCGGACCAGCATGGTCTCCCGTTGATTGAGACCACTGACTCGGCCTATCTAATGGCAGATATTGATGAATGATGGGGATGATCTCTCCTCTAGAAGGTGGTAGCCATGCGTTGCCACAGTTAGTATTCAGTCCTGGTGCCCACTATAATCAGACTCCCGTAGCAGGACGCTGGAGAAATTTCTGCTATTCCAGGTTTTTCACCATTCATAGGGCCGGTGCACTTCTAGACAGCGCTAATACAGTCAGGTTACCCTAGCCCGACGGAAAGCCCTCTGCTTCCCACCGTGCATTGCCACCTCCAATCATACCAGCTCCTTCAGCCCTTGATCTGAATAGAGATTTTGCGGTTCGGCCTTCTTTAACCCCTGCCTCGCACGGCCGCATCGGAAGGACGATTATGCTTTCCCTGCTTCCCTCTTCCAGTTTAATTATGTTCTGGAGCTCGAGGCCTAGTCTCCTGCAGTTGACTGGGGGCGTTGCTATGATAAAGGTACTAGAAAAGGAGGGGGAATGCAAAGTGGCGTAATATTCGTAGTAGTACATCAGAAGTGTTGCTCGGAAACGCAGTTAGTTATTGTCCCACACATCAGTGTCCTTGATAACAGAATTCTCCTTAGTCCATTCACGTCAAGGGAGTTCTTTTGTTTCGCGCTTGTAGAGGTTAGTGCCAAAAAGCGATATCGGCGCCTGCAAAGGATACCAAATAAAGATTAGCAAGCTGAACGCGTGAGATAACAGACGACCGTCGGTCACGGAATGTACTTACTACAACTGACCCCGATAATCTAGTACGTACAGTAGGAAGGTGCAGGGATCTGAATTTCTCTGGAATGCTTGCTGCCTTTCATATGATTTGTTAATACTTTATATGGCCATTCAGCGTTGGTTTTCACGGCTTCACATGCCGAGTTGAGAAGGCGGTGCTGTATGGGAGACTTAGCGCGTCAATGAGGGCTTCATTCAGACCTGCTAAGAATATCCTCTACTCTGCAGACCCCCACCCCACCCCCGCTCCCTTTCTCCCCGCCCAAAACGCCTTATGATGACAATACTCTACTCTGATCCCTGCGGCAAAAAACACAAGGAAAAAGTCTTGTCACGTTTGAATCAATTAAAGCTGCTGTGGGACTTTTGTCAATTGAAGATTAGCTGCTCCAAGTTGCATGTTGCGTTATCTTAGGTTTCCTTCATCATTTAGACCATCTACAAGGATATACGAGTAAGCTATTGTCGACCCAATCAAGAAGCAAAAACATAAAGCAGATGTAAGTCCCCCGCTCCATTTTTTCCCGGCGGCTTTCCGGTACTGATCCGGCTTAGAGCTGAGAGCGCTCTACTGTGCAAGAGCCAATCCGAGCAGAGCGATAAGGTGCAGTGGCAATTGGGAACTCCTCACCCGTCATTCATCTTCACCTCCATCAATCGACAAATTAGCCCCTCGTCCCGACTTTCGATCCTTCTCCTCATAAACTCCATTCATTGCTACTGTCATGTCCGACCATTGCGTCCTCTACATGTCAGAAGCAACCCAATGACCAGTTTACAATGCCCCCCTCCGGATCGAACTCGGCGGAGTCTGTCCCCAACCGGCCCCAAATTCCGGGAGAGCTGCAAGAGCTGCGCAGCATCCAAGATCAGATGCACCAAGGAGAAGCCGCAATGTGCGCGGTGTGTGAAACGCAACATGGTCTGCGAGTATCTGGAAAGCAAACGCGCACGACGCAAACCAGGCGCGCGCCTCAAGCATCGGGAGTCTATTACCACGAATGCTCATCATTCCCCGACGACGACGACCATCACCACCTCGCGCACCACATCTTCCTCTCCATGTGAGGGGGAGAGGCTGAACACTCGAATGATTATAGCTGCTTCTCCCAAGACCTATCACCCGCTAAACTACGTAGACATTCTCTCCTGGACGCCTACGCCTACGCTGCCTGATTCTGCAACCGACACTCAAACCGGCCTGCACTGCAATTTCGATGACTTTTTGGCCTTCTCCCACTCCACTTCACTGCTCGGCGTACCTGAGGCGGGCGAGCTGCCTGTCCACCTGACAACCGACTTTCGCCAGCTCGAGGAGCTCAATCGCGCCCCGGAGGTGTTCCCTCTGGTCCCAAGCCAGCTTTCAGCTGGCGGAGATCAGACAGCCAGGTCGGAACCATCCCTGCCCGGCTCCCTGCTTCGTCCAGAGCCTTCCGCCAGTCAGCCCTCAATGCCTAAGGCGCTTGATCCTGGTTCCGCGTGCTGCTCCATTAGCCAGACTTTGGCTCTCTTAACATATTTCTCCTCCTCCTCCTCCTCCTCCTCCTCCTCCTCCTCCTCCTCCTCCTCCTCCTCTTCTTCTTCTTCTTCCTCTTCTTCTTATTCTTCCTCTTCTTCGTCTTCTTCCTCTTCTTCCTCTTCTTCGTCTTCTTCCTCTTCTTCCTCTTCTGCGCGGTGTCTGAACTCAACTTGCGGAGGATGGGAGCTGAATGAGATCCCGACCATCCAATGCGTAGTGAACAACAATGCAAAGGTTGTACAGGCTCTTGACGAGATCCTCCAGTGCCGGTGCTCCGAGGATGGGTACCAGCTAGCAATCCTTTCTGTGGTGATTCTCAAAGTCCTAGGCTGGTATGCGACGATCATTCGACCGCTCCTGGGTGTGGAGGCGCACAGTCCGGGAGTGGGAGAGGGGACGACGGTGCGTACCGACTCGCTCGCGGAGACTCAGCTTTCCTCCTCATTCTATGTGGACTCTGGTCAGCAGATCTCGCCCAAGATCACCATGGGACCCCCTCTCGCGTACGGGAGGGAAAGCGAGGGCAAGACTCGCATGGCGGCGCAGCTGATCCTCAGCCAGCTGCATCGCGTCCAGCGGCTCGTAAATATCCTATGCCACCGCTTCAAACTGCACAGCAACCGTGAACAGAACCCAGCCTGGAACTCCAGCACGGCGTCCACTGCCACCGAGCCCGAAGGACCTGCTTACATCGAGCATCTCTATCCTTTCTCAAGTCTTGTATTTGACCAGATCGAGAAGGATGTGCGCGGGCGTCTCCGATCTCTTTCCACCGAGCTCCTAGAGATGCTACGCTACTAGCGGTTAATTCTACCTCATTCTCATACATACATCCAGCATTCGTGGTTGTGGCTGTAATCCGGTCACGCGATCCAGTGCTTATTCATCTATGCGGCTCCCTTACAGAAATGTCGTCAGTTAGGTCAACGATCATAACCAATCACCAAGCAATCAACGAACTAACCTCGGACTCGCCCGCTTGAGCTTCCAAGTCCGTGGGGAATGTTCTCTGGCAATCTTACTCAACTGCAAAGAACTGTCTTAAAGCCTCGGGAACAAGTCAGATAATGTTTACTCAATATATTACTAGTCTAGTCCAGTAACCGCGACATGAAAGTCGAATCTCTCACCCAAATACATACTACCATATCAAGGCCAGAACGATGTTGCCGAACTAGAACCACTGGGCGCTATCTATTGCTCTGTTCCTGGAGGCACATTTTCAGATTTCTCCTCAGAAACACGAGCTAGATTCCACTTTGAGAGTTGGTGCTTGGAACCGTGTTTGGTTGCTAGTAAAAGACGATTACTGTGATGGACAGTATCCGAAGAGGGAGATCACCACATGATGACCTCTACTCTACAGGGACTGGGGCCTTTTGAAGGATGGGCAGAGCCCATAATGATCACAAAAGAAACTCGGGCAAACGGAAGACGACCATCAGTGGGAAATTGTGAGATCGGTTAGAAGTTGCTTTACTGTAACAGTAATTCTAGATGCTACACATTCATTAGAACCCTATGACTACAAAGTTCCTCACGAACCAGAGTTACTGATAGCGAACACAAAGTGATTCCAATTGCGTAGGTCCAGAAATATAGGACTTTTCCGAAAGTGACCCCATACAGATCACACCCGGTCCATCATACCTCAAAGTGTACTCATCAGCTACGACCATCGACATAATTGAAAACTCCCCACTCCGCGAAGAAGAGAGTCTAAGGTAGGGAGACCTCTCATAAAATAAACATAATAAGAAAGTGAAACTTATATCTTAAATACTTTAATAGATAACTTTTTTGAATTGAACTTTTCAAATATTCATTACAATAATAATAATAAAAAGTTTGAACTATTTAACAGATATTATGAAAACATCAAACTGATTTAGCTGTGAGATTTGGATAATGTTATGGGACCAAGGCCCTGATATAGAGCTCGGCTTCAGGCACCAATTGCGCTAATCGAAACGTGCCTTTAAATAAGAAGAAATAGCTGGAAAGCTATTTTATCTATTTATATAAAATTCTTTTAAGAATATACCAAGCTAGTACTAGGTTAATATATAATATTTCAGATCTCAGATACTATTTAATTTTATAATACTTTATTTAATTTTAATCCTATGAGGATTATTTAAAGCTAATATTATATATTTATTGTATTTATATAATTTAGCTTATAGTTAATATTCTTCTGTAAAAATTTTAGATTAAGATTGTAAATAATATTAATAAATATATTTAAAAGTAAGAAGAATTCTGAATACCTTCACTTCTACTTTAATGAAACCTTACTTTTCACTCAAACTTTATATGGGATTCCATACAAAATTTAAGTAAGGGATAAAGTGAAGGTAAAAGTAAAGTAAAAGATAGATAAAATCAATTTCTTAAATAAGTAACTGATTAAACTAATTAAACTGAATAAATCAAATATATTAAACTAAAACTGAACTGAAACTGCTTGTTTAACTAACTAAAAGAATAATAGGAATTAATCTTTTATTTATAGCTGAATAGCTATATTGATTTTCCGAGGCTTTCTGTAATCATATAAAAAATATATAAAAATAACTAAATAAATAAATTCCTATTAAAGAAAAATAATAAAATAAATAGAAGAAGATTGTTTCAGACTATTTTTTTTATTAAAAAATTATTAGAATTTAGAAATCCACTCTGTAAACTAGCTAATCTAAAACAGTAAATTAAAAAGCTTAAAATAGCGAACTGGCGAGTCTGAGGCTATTAACTAGCTATAAAGTTAATATATTTCTACAGTTTGAATAAGATTTAAAAGATTAATAAAATTAAATAAATAAAATATTAAAATAAAAAAAATAAATAAAAATAGTAATAATCTGATTAATATTAATAAATTAATAAATAACTATATTAAGCTGTTTAATAAATTTAGTATATTTCTAATTTTAAAATTACTTAGTCAGACTATCTACTTTTATTTTATTAATTAGAATTTATTAAATATTAATAGATTTATTAAAGACTTTCTATCTAAGCTAGTAATTAGCTATATTAATATATTTTAGACTAATCCGAAAAAAAATAGGATTAATTAAGATTTCTACTGTTTAATAATTATTATATAATATAAAGAGATAATGGCTAGAATTAAATCCTATCTATTTAAAAAATTATTTTTATTAAAAAAACTATTTGGCTGCGGCAGTTAGAGCTAATAATTCAGCTTTAATAATTGAAAAAATTATATAGTATTTTTTTTATTTAATTAATTAATAGATTTATTAAATAAATAAACAATATATCTTAATAAGCTAATATAATCTTAATAATTAGTAAAACTAGTATTATTAATTATATAAAAGAATATAATTAGCTTTTCCGGTCTTTTTGTCATAGATAACCCCTGTACCTATGGCGGATTGCCAACGGTGTACCTACGCATTCTCAGTATAATAGTTATGATGTTAATAATTTAGTGTTACAGGACAGATGGATTGTGCTAATCAAAACATGCCTTAGAATAAGAAGAAATAATTAAAGAGCTATTTTATCTGTTTGTACGAAATTTTTTTATATATATTAAACTAGCGCTAGTTTAGTATGTAGCATACAAGATTTTAAATATTAATTAATATCTAAAGCTAAGTTTTATATTAGAATTTTAATTTTATAATAAAAGTTCTTTTCTTCTTTTTATTTTTTTTATAGCTTCTATTCGTACGAACGACTGTTTAGAATCTAAAATAATAATTTTATACTTTAATTCTTTATTTAAATAATATTATAACTGATTAGTAAATAGTATATATATAAATAAAATCTACTTTATCTAATATAATTTTTTTTATATAATTTTTTTTTATTTATTAAATATTATAATTTTTTAATAAATAGAATCTTTTTTTATATTATTTATATAACTGGTTCCGGAAATGCGGTCAGGCTTAGCTATTAGTTTTATATATAATATATAAAATATTATATAAAAAA